ATTGATTTCAGTGTCTGAAATTGGAATTCAGTTTGTAATTCAAGCAAAAAAAAAAACACCTCATCAAAATTCACTTTGCATTCGAGCTTTTACTTTAACTTTGAAAGTACCTCGTTATAGCTAAAAGTTAAATAATCCAAAACGGCGAAAGCTTGCCTTTAGTTACATTAAGAAGCTTTTTATCATTTAACGTACTTTATTGCGTATAGGTAGAGCTCTGTAGATATGCTTTGATTCATTTAATAATTAAATAATGATTGCAGATTGTTTGACAGCTTTGACAGCTACTTCAAGGCCTTATTGTGGCTTAACATTTGATATAGCTTAAAGTTTGCGTTTAAACGAGCTGAAGCTTTCAGAGCTCGCATTAAACAAGGAAAGTTACGTTTACGCTATGCGGTTGCGCTTTAAGGAGCTTTCAAAACTTACTTCAAACTAGAAAAGTTCATTCCTTCGCTAAATTCAGCATGCCAAAGAGCTTAAAATGAGATAAGTCATACAAAAAGTTATGGTCAAGCTTTAATGAGCTTTCAAAACGTGGCTTCCTAAGCCATACAATTAATCCTGACAAAGCTTTTTGAAGCTCTTAACTGCTGCGTGTAAAAGTTTCGAATGCTTTCACCTTATTGAAAAAAACGAACTAAATATGACAGCTTTTAAAGCTTCTTCACACAAAAGAAAGCTTCAATTGAGCGACTTGGCGCCACTTTTTGTCAAAAAAAAGACCTTGACAAGAGCTAGGAATGCATTTGAAGCTTACTTTGGTTGAGATGAGCTTTTGGTGAACTTCTGCTAATATTACCTTCCTTTATTTGACAGCTACTATGGTGGCAATCAATTTATTGATCAGATTGAATGCCTGGCTCAGACACGCGGCCTTCATCTGTTCAATCTGGATGCCAGCGAATGGGGCGTCAATGTTCAGCCCTATTCCGGCTCGCCGGCCAATCTGGCCGCGTACACGGGCGTGCTGCGTCCACACGATCGTATTATGGGCCTGGATCTGCCCGATGGTGGACATTTGACGCACGGCTTCTTTACGCCAAACAAGAAAATCTCGGCTACATCCATCTTCTTTGAGAGCATGCCCTATAAGGTGAATCCCGAAACGGGCATCATCGACTATGAAAAACTGGCAGAGGCGGCCAGAAATTTCCGTCCGCAGATTATCATTGCGGGCATCTCGTGCTATTCGCGCCTGCTGGACTATGCACGCTTCCGCAAGATCTGTGACGAGGTCGGCGCATATCTGATGGCCGACATGGCGCACGTGGCTGGACTCGTGGCCGCCGAGCAGATACCCTCACCATTTGAGTACGCCGACATTGTGACGACCACGACGCACAAGACGCTGCGCGGTCCGCGAGCCGGCGTCATCTTCTTCCGCAAGGGTGTGCGCAGCACAAAACCAAACGGCGAGAAGGTTATGTACGATCTAGAGGAGCGCATCAATCAGGCGGTGTTCCCGGCGCTGCAGGGTGGGCCGCATAATAATGCCATTGCCGGCATTGCCACGGCCTTTAAGCAGGCCAAATCGCCGGAATTCAAGGGCTACCAGACGCAGGTCATCAAGAATGCCAAGGCGCTGTGCAAGGGCCTCATCGATCTGGGCTATACGGTGGCCACCGGCGGCACCGATGTTCATCTCGTGCTGGTCGATGTGCGCAAAACCGGCCTAACCGGCGCCAAGGCTGAGCTGGTGCTCGAGGAGGTGGGCATAGCCTGCAACAAGAACACGGTGCCCGGCGATAAGTCCGCCCTGAATCCGTCCGGCATACGCCTGGGCACGCCAGCGCTAACCACGCGCGGTCTACTCGAAAAGGACATGGAACAGGTGGTCGCCTTCATCGATGCGGCGCTCAAAATTGGCGCCGACGCTGTCAAAGCGGCGGGCGGCCCCAAATTGGTTGACTATACGAAGACCCTAAACGAGAATCCGGCCATCAAGCAGCAGCTGTCGGAGCTTCACGAATGCGTTAAGAAGTTCAGCGTCACGTTCCCGCTGCCCGGACAAGAGTGTCTCTAGAGATCTAGCTTGCATTTTGTCCACTCGAAAAATTGTTTCCAAATTCCTAGTGCATCTACAGTCCAATATTTGCCTGCATAGATGTATCAAAAAAAAAAAAAACACGTATATAATTTAGTAAAGCTAATAAAATCTGAAGAAAAAAAATATTTGAAAACTTTGTAAACAGCTTGCGTTTTACTTTAACGATGTTTGCCAAAAACCTTTTTTTCATTTAATTTTCCTTCAAGAACAAATATGGCTTGATATTCGAAAAGCACAAGAATTCGAAAATTTCTCGAAAATTGAAATAAGTTGAACTGAAAATCTCGAGAAGAGTCGGATTATTTGTTGCCAAACAACAAATTAAGCTGTTCTATAAAAATATGCTAAAGAATTACATATATATATAAATTGTAATTTTTATACATCAAATGTTGGAGATATACATATATTAAGTGGAATTATTAAACACATAGAAAGCGAACATAGTCTAAGCTTATAATATTTAAATAAATTAACATTTAGCACACTTTCAAAACATATTTGCCTAAGATTTATTTATAAGAATTGCAATACTTGTTTGGCATTGATTTATTTGAAAGTAAAAGCATTTTCGAATTAAAGAATTTCAAAATATGATTTTTTCAAAAACGAATTTTGAATTTTAGAGTTTCGAACTAACTTTGCTGGGCTTTATTTGAAAGCAAAAGGATTTTGAATTAATTTTTTTGTACACAAATTTAATTTGGTTTCGAAAAGATGTTCACGAGCTGAAAGCCTGCTCGGATATGAAGTTCGCAATAGAAGTAAGATTGTTCCTTTATGCAGCTCTCTTTTCTCTGTTTTCGAATTCCTTTAACGTATTTATAATATTTACTTAATTTAAACAAGAAACTGAATCCGAACGGAGTTCGATTCGAAACGGAATAAACGACAGATTTACGAAACGTTCGGATTTGATTCGCATATATATGAAACAAGTGAAATCAGAAACAAGTTAAGAATTTGTACACATTCCAAACGCTTAGCTTAAGTTGACATTTACAATAGTTTAGCTTAGTTTAGCTTAGCTTAGCTTAATTAAGTTTACAAAATATATACACACACATATATATATATATATATATATATTTAAATTAGGAAATATGTCTCACTTTCTCTCTCTTGCCCGCTGCCGGCGCCGAAAACGCGGCCTAGTTGAGTTGATGATCCGCGAAATCGATTTTGGTCAGCTCCTTGCTCAAGCGCGCATCCCGATGGAAGCGCGAATTGTGCGTGGACAGGGACCATTTGGTCTTGAAGTTCTTCATGCAGATGAAGCACTCGTGCTCCTTGCTCTGGATCTCCGAGTGCCTGGAGGCAATGTGTCGCCGCAGGGCGTTCATCGATTGCAGTCGGCGTTTGCAGACGCCGCAGATAAGCGCCACGCCCGTTGGAGCATTCTCCTCGACGGTGGCAACGGCTGCGCCGGATGCGACAGATGCTGCGGCAGCTGAAACGATTCGAGACTCGTTTAAAAATTATATTATATTACAATTTGTACAATTTTTGCATTAGTTAAGCGAGATCAGATTGTGTTCAGGCTGGAAATACGCATAAAGTTCTTCTTGGCTTTTATTGGGTGTATTTTATTTGCAATCCTTTTCAAAGAATTTCTTTTTCATTTCTTTTCTTTTTTGTTGTTCGGGTTTCTTATCAAAAGGAGAAGAAAGTTTGAATTATATTAATCTCTTTTATATATATATATATATAAATAACTCTATATACATGCATATTTGGTTCGCTTCACATCTTGTTTTATATATTTTTACATTACACAAATACAAATGAGACACAAAAATTGTTAATTTTGTTTGTTTTTATGTTTTACATACAAATTTTGGGATACCCTTGCAGAGGCAGGCATTAAAAACTGTTTATAAAATGTGTTATGCTTTTTAGTAGGCAGTTCGAAGTCTATTGTTCTATTCCCATTCCATTCCGTTCCAAAATCGTTGAATGCAAGTCGCCTTTCCATACTGTTCCAAAATAGTTTGCTGCATTGTCCAACAGTATTGTTCGAGGTCTATTGTTCCAATCTCTCATTCCATTCTGTTCCAGTGCATGTCTAAGCTGTGTTGTTCGAAGTCTATTGTTGCGATCCCATTCCAATCTGTTCCAAATGAACACGTTGCAACAGTCATGTTGCTGCCGTGTTTCATTCCATTCGATTGAGCGTGTAGTATGTATACCATTCCGTTTCAGTTCAGACCATGTCTACAGACTTAAGACTGTTCCATTCCATCGCGTTTCATTTTCATTTGCTTATTTAAGTATATTATTAGAACGTCGACATTTAAAGCTGATTCCGAAACTTTAAAAACGCTTCAGTTAGCCGTTCCATTCCATAGCATTCCATTTATGCAGCTAAACTGGCAGGCTTAGACAGCGCTTAGCACATAATATAATATATAAAAAATTGCATTGTTTTCCATATAAAAAACTACAATAAACATCTTTTGATTTTCATATGAACCCCAAATTTGCTTAAAGTAAAAACTACTCGATATTAAATAGGCTATGGCAATTCGTATGGGCGCAAGTCTGCAAGGGTATACAAATTTTGCTAATTTATCTGATATAAATTTGTTTTTATAATATGTATATGATCTGACATCAAAATGTTCGTAATCGATACGATATATGTAAATATATATACACACATACATACACATACATGTATATATATTTATATATATTATACAATACGTATGAGTCGTTCATTCAACATTTAGCTTTAGTGTGTGTGTGTGTGTGTGTGTACAGATTGTTTTCCTATTTTCTATATGTATATTCAACTACGATATTTGACATTTAAATATGCATTTGTTAATATCAAATTAAAAATATGATGCTAGTTGAAATATGCTTAGGCTCAACATTTATATGCTAGCTAAATGTGGACGTGGAATTGGGAGGAAAATGGTCTGGGGTTAACGTCTAAAACAAAAGATTTAGAGAATATCTAAAACTGAATTATATTTCATTTTGTACAGGTTTCGTGTGTGTGTGTGTGTGTGTGTGTGTGTGTTGAGCAAAATATATAAATAAAAATAAAAAATAAAAAAAAAACACATTGTTTGACTGTGGGCCTAGTCTGGCTTTGGCTCTAGCGCTCTATAAAATAAATATATATATTCAAATGTATATATATATAGAATCTAGGAATTATATAATTAGAGTTAAGCTTAATGTATGTACAGTTACGTGATGTACGCTACGCACTTGGCTAACTAATTAACTAAAATACATAAATTAATTTCAATTTGTTTTGTTTTTCAATTTGCCGGGAATCTATATAACTGCCTGCTTATATATATATATATATATATATAGATACATATGACATGGCTTGGTCAATATTGGGCTTGAACAGCTCCACAAACCGACTGACTCGACATTTGCTGTGGCTTACAAATGAACATCTCGATAGACAGACACACATATACTAATAATAATATATGGTATATAGAATGTTATATAGTTCGCTTTGCCTCAGATCTGTTGCAGCATTTGAATAAGCAAGCATTTCCTATTTCTATACATTTATATCAATTTTTTGTCGGCCATCAAACAGATCTGATTTAAGCTTTTGTTTTTCTTTTTTTTTTTTTGTTTTCATTTTCTTTTCTCATTTTAGTTGAATGCAAAGTAAGTGCTAATGACTGGAAAAGTGCTTTAACATTATCCTCCTCCTCCTCCTCCTGCTCTTTTTTTTTTTTTGTTTCTTCTTTCAGTTTTGTTTGCTTTACATTTATTTTTTGTGTTGTTTTGTCTTGCCACTAGCTGAGGTTTTTAGCATTTGCAGCATTTGTTGTTTTTTTTTTTTGTTGGACGTAATGTTCTATATCTCTCTCTCTCTCTCTCTCTCTTGTACTCGCTCTGTCTCCGTGTCGCCCTCTCTTTCTAGTTAGTATGCTCCGTCTCGCTCGCATTGGTTCCGTGCCGCCTGGAATATTCAATTGACGCCGTGCTGCACCTGAAAGATCGTCCATCAGTTCTCCGTCTTGATGGCCACCTTCTGCTCATGGGAGATGCGTATGTGCTCGCGTAGGCTGTATTTGTTTTTGAAATTCTTATTGCAGAGATCGCATTTGCGCGGCGGTTGGGGCGTATGTTGGGTGCGAATATGTCTCCAAAGATTCACCGTGGTTATAACCATTTTGCAAAATTGACATTCTGTCCATTTATTATTGGGTGAATCTAAAAATATACAGAAAAATAGGACAAATTATACAATTAGCTTGCCTTTTTCGCTTTCGCTTATCACGCTTCTATTTTCTGTTTTCTATTTTCTGTTTCAATTACATTTCTACACACACATTTGGTTAAACAATAGACAAACACTTTGGAGACATATTCGACGCCAAAACACAATACGATCAGAAGTCTGATATATATAATCAAAAGCCAAACAATCTATAAATACGATTTATACACTCAAAATATCCAGCACCAAACCGAGCAATAATATTTGTACAAAAAAACATACAACTTATAATTTAAATTAAAATTAAAACGCACTTTATAATTACAATTAAAAGACAAATAATAAAATATAATTAAACAATATAATCTAAACGATCACCCAAACAACTTTAATTTATTTCACTCTGTTCTCACAGCTCAGCAACTTAGCCAAGTTATTGCTTAAACCAGTTGTGAATTATAATTGGCAAGTAAGTTAATTTCTTATAATTATTGCCGAACTGAAGGGACTTGGGAAACCTTTTGTGTGTGAACCATGCGATAGGACTATAATTTGTATTCTTGCGGAATTCTTAAGTTAAGTGCTGTTTAAGGTGAAAGCAAGCGATTGGGACTTAAACTTAAAGCTGCATGTTGCTCAAATGCCCATTATTGAGCTCCCCTTAACTGTTTGTATAGTTATATAATCAATGGACATTCTGAGACTCTAGATTGCTAGATTGCGGATTGCACATTTCATTTCCGATCTATCAGCGAGTAGTCTGTCAAGCCAAACAACCTGATGGATTGGTATATCAAAACATAAACCGTCGAACCCTCTAAAGTGCTAGACTAGACAGTCTCATGCTTCATTCCCAATTGTGCAACTATTGCGGATCTGTCCATTATAACACATCATTTATGTATATATATATGTAAATCTAAACGGATTTTTAGTTTCTGTCAGAGTTCCAAATACAAATCGTTTTCTTTGGAATGTCAAAACAGCAAACGATTCGAATTTCGTGTGCGTTGAGTTAGGATTAAACAGTGTTTGGCCTGGTTAAATGCACTCACCATTGGTGCCGCTGGCTTTGTTGTCAGTTTTGACTGGCGTCACCGAAACGGTGGTTGTGGCACCCGTCGGCGCGGCGCTAGGATCCTCCAGCACCGCCTGTGCGGTGGTTGTGGTTGTTGCGCCGCTCGCTGTGCTCAGCAGGCGTGCTGCAATTGACAGAAGTTGTTGGCTCGACAATATATATATATATATATATATATACGCAGCTACTCACTCATTTCGATGGCAATTTCGGCATTCTCGGGATCTGCTTGATATTTCTCCTCGATTTCAGACTCGGTTAGGATCTCGTATTCGGAAGAGTATTGCGCCACAGTCTGTGCGGCCGCTGTGGTCGCATCCTGTGACGTTTGTGGCGTCGCGCCGTCCGATAAACGATCGTCCACCTCACTGACTATATAATCGGGTATATCCATTTTGACGGCGCCGCGTAGAAATGTCATCTCAGCAGCTGCAAGAAGAGCACGTTCAACAATTGTAATACTTATATTAAAAATAAAGTAAAATAAAGACTAATGTGGTCTCTGCAAGGCCTATAAAAGCAAGAAAGACCTTGCAGGCAAAAAAGCATAAGGCTTGCCAGATATGTGGAAGGAATTGCGACAAGATATCTTAAAACCCAAATACTTTTCCTTGCAAAGTCTCTATCGCTTATATATAAGAACTTGTAAAAGTTGATCAACAAAAAAGTCGATATACAGTGACGAATCGATTCGATCGGTTCAAAGGGAAGGACCTTTGCAAAGGGGCTGGATGGGTGGGCAAGTGTTGCACGACCTTACTTATAAAGAAGCTCTGCTCAAAGCTGTGTGGCGAATTTCTTTCTTTATCGTATGCAAGTTACGTGCTTGATGGATTTCCAACGGATTCTCTTACTTTTCACAATGGTCTGCTCGTCCTTGACGGCATAGTCGACCGTTTCGGTGGTGTAAATATTGTCATCGTCATCGGAGAAGGTGATCTTGCGCTTCTTGACGGTGTTCGCTGCGGGCAGCGATACCGTATTCGTGATGGTCAGGTGCTGCGCCTGCGCTGCGGCCTGCTGTGGCTGTTGTTGTTGTTGCTGCTGCTGCTGCTGTTGTTGCTGCTGCTGTTGCTGCTGTTGATGTTGTTGCTGGGGCGGCGCCGCCTGAACTTGAATGTGTTGTATTTGGGTGCTTTGTACATGATGATGATGCTGCTGCTGCTGTTGTTGTTGCTGCTGCTGCTGCTGTTGGGTCTGCTGCACCTGCAGCTGAGCCGCCGCGGCAGCAGCTACCTGCGTTTGAACCTGCGTTGCCGTTGCCTGCAACAGCGTGGCCGTTGGTATTTCGATGGTTTGTGTGGCGCTCTGCGCTTGAGCGATGCTTGCAACAGCCACCTGCTGCTGTTGCTGCTGCTGCTGATGCTGCTGCTGCTGCTGTTGCTGATGCTGGTGGTGTTGCTGCTGCTGTTGCTGCTGCTGCTCGTTGACGGCGCGTATCGTGCTGGGTATCGTCTTGATGAGCTTGTGATCGCTTATGAGCGGCGCCACCGGCAGCTGCGGTTTCTCCTTCTCCTCAGCGGTCAGGCCCTGCACGGCCAGCAGTTCGGCTGTCTGCAGAAAGGATTGCAGCGCCTCTTGTTGAACATTCACCTCGCCCTGGCAGACATGTAGAATGATTAATAAATGGCATTAATGTGGCACATATGTATGTAGCATACCTGATACATAAACTCGACTATGGAGTTGAGATCTTCGAATTTGATAAACTTAAATATAATGACTGGATGTGGATGCGGATTCTCTTTAAATATCTCCTTAAAATACGATGAACACGAGCTGAGCACCACCTTGTGCGCCTTGATCTTGCGCCCGTCCACGCACAGGCTGACATCAACAAAATCATCGTTCAGCCTGTGATTGTCCAGCGAGTAGGTCAAATGCCGCAAATAGTTATTCCAGCGCAGCGAATATTGCTGTGTCGTTGCCATTGCTAAGGCCGATCAACTAATTGCAACAAACACCAATTGCGCCCGACACGCCTGCCGCCGCCAACGCCTGCGCCACCGCCAGAGCCTCAACGTCAGCCTCAGGCACAGCCGCTGCCCCGCTTTTTGGGCCCTAATCCAATTAACCCGGGTTTGCAGTTGGGCCAACCGCGCGCACTTGTCGTTTCTCTTAGCAAGTAAACAGAAGTAGCCAACTTATTTAATTACGTGCAGTGTGCGCACGCTGTTTGCATTGATTAATTTCAAATTCAAAATGTGTTGTTTGTATTGCCTTCGCACTTTGTGTTTTTGTTTATTTTCAGTGTATTTTAGTAGCTAATTGCGGAAAAGACGCTGCTCCACGCAACCGCAAATCATTTTATTAATGCACATACGCTGTAGTTTGTTTGCCGCTACTCGTTTACTCGGTACGCTTTACGTATTATGCAGTGCACATTTTGATTTTGCATTTATTTATTTATTTGCGTTTTGTAGGTATTCATTTTTCAATATTTTCACACTTTTTTTTTTCACGGCAAAATTAGTTGCTTTTTGGCAAGCTTATGTTATTGTGGCATTCTGTTATACTCAAAATGTGCCTGTTTATCGAGCGTTATCGATAGCACGCTATGTTAAACTTAACAGCAATGGCAGCTGCTGCTGTTGGGCGCAGCTGGTGCCGGCGCACGCTAGATGGCGCCACCTCAACGGTTAGCCATATTCAAAATTCAATTTGCGCTTCTTGGGAAAAAAAAAACGTTTATTTTACCACAGCCGTTATATGAAAAAGAATGAGTTTTAAAGTTACAGTAGGCAAAAAAAAAAAAAAAAAAACAAACAAACAAACAATATAGCATATGTTATTAGAAGAAAAGGCGCACAGCGAATCGATAAATGAGACGTATCAGAAAGCCATAAACAATGGCACGGCACAAATAATCCAAAACATAGAAGATCTTGATGCGCAGACGCGCCTTACTGCTGCTCTCGGGACTCTCGTTCATCAGAAACTCCTTAGCGCCGCGTATTCCATTCTGAAAGAAGTCCACATAGTTGATGTTCGAGTGCTGTAGGAAACCAAAGACGGCTCTGGAAAAATGCAAAGTTTTCGCGTTAGTTTTCCCTCTCTTTCCCCCCCCCCCCCCCCCCTCTTTCTCACTACCGCTTACATTTCATTCTCGGGCACGACGGCATGCAATGCCTTGAAGTTCTCGTTGTCGAAATGCCACTCGGTGGTGGCAAAGACCTGGACCGCACGGAACGCGGCAAAAATGCGCCGCTGTAGCTTCAGCAGGCTGGAAAATGGCGAAAAATTCCAGTAAAATATCAGACAGGCAGAGGCTACATGCACTTACAATGGCTTCTCGTTGGTCAGCCGCAGCAAGGTGTCCACCACAATGGCCATCATGATGTGCATCGTTATGAACTGGCCCAAGGAAGAGGTAAGCACAAGTTAGCAAGCGTTACGCTATGTCACACGCACCGCACGGATTGGACTCACCCTCACGAAATGCAGGACCGGGCACAGGGTGATGCCGCCGCCTGGCAACCAGAGCGTCTGCTCGAAGGGATTCTGCCTAATGTACCGCTTGCCGATATCGATCACCTGGCCCATGGTAATGGGCGATATGTTGGCCGTGGCACAATTGACCACATCGATGGGCTTGCCCTTGGCCGGGGCCTGCTTTAAATATTTGTATGCGGCTATGATGAGACCGCGCACCACCACATCGGCGGGCACGAAATCGGCAACAATATAGGGATCGCAGTTCTGGGAGCGCAAAATGCCAACGCCACAGGCCACCAGCATGCCGGTGGGTCCATTAAAGTTATCCGCCCAGCCGGGCACGGGCTCCTCTATCGTCGAGATCACTGTCACATGGGCAAGGGAAACCAAGAGCGTCAGACCGTGAGATCGTAAATAAAAACCGAGCTTAACCCATTTCCAGCTATACCCAATTTCGTGTCACACCCGCTGCTGCAGTCAGCGTGTTCCGATCCTTATATCCTCCATCTGCAAATACTTCTAGTGGATCTCTTTCCAAATCGGAAGCTTACTAGGCTGGTACTGCTCCAAGCTAAGCTGCAAGCAGTGCCCACCCACCCACATCGACAATATCGCGTAATATCAGAGTGTGTCGCCGGGCAGTACCGAACAAAACTGTATAGCACCGGGTATCATCACGCAATACCTAGCTGTACCGTATAAGTACTTCGATCTGCACCACCGTCATAAGCAGTACCTACTTGTATTCTCATACCTCATACCTATCAGTACCCAGTTGTAACGTAACAATGCCAAGCAGTGCCGGATAATACAGATACCAGATAATAAGATGCAGTACCCAGTAATAAGGACCGACTACCGGATAGTTACCCGTACCTCTAAGTATCTAAGCGAAGCCGAGTACCGTGCAGTACCGAGCACTACCGAGCCGTACCGACCTGTACCGAGTAGTACCAAGCAGTACCAAGCAGTAGAAAGCCGTACCAAGCCGTACCGAGCTGTACCAAGACTACTCATGCCAAGTACCAAAATATATTGAATGGTACCAAGGAAACTTTAGATGAATTTAGATTCAAATTGTGCCAAACAGAGCGCATGATCAGTTTGGAGCTGTACCTACCGATTGAGGGCCGGTATATTAAAATTGGCAACTGATCCTTATAATCGTTGGCCACATGCTCGGCCAGACTCTTGGTGAAGGTGTACGTGTTCGGCTGGAAGCTGCTATACCTGAAAATAAACAAGATGCAATAGGTTAATTGAGCGAACGATGCGAGCATAGCACAACCTACTTCAAATTGAAAACATCCAAGGTTTCCTCATCGTAGGTCTCGGCCAGTTTGATGGTGGTGCGCCAATCCGCATAGGGTGGATAGATGCGCTCCTCAACCTCCAGCTCGGTGGGATTCGAGTATGTGGTGGACACATGGACAAAGGCCTTCAGTTTCTTCCATTGCAACGCGAGCTTGATCAGCTCATGGGTGCCGCGTGTGTTCATCAAAATGGCCGAACGCAGCGGATCATCAAAGCTGCCATAAACCGATATCAGAAGCTTGAACATAATGCAAACAGCCGCGTTGCCACCTACCGAACAGAGGCCGCCGAGTGATAGACAATGTTCACGTTCCGTAAACGTGCCAAGTCCGGCTCACTGATGCCCAGGCCCAGCTGCATAACATCCCCGGCAATGGGCACCACCTTGGCCAGCGTCTGGGGCTGCTCGCGCCGCAATCGCTCGTACAGCTTGCAATTGAGCAACGCCTCCAGGCGCTGCTCGATGGCAACGCCCTTCTTGGGCCGTATCAGCACATAGATCTTGCCCAGTGTGTAGCAGGAGCGCAGCAGCTTCTCGATCAGCGCCTTGCCCACGAAACCTGAGCACGTTGCGTATCGAACGGTTAACAAAGCGAATCTAACTAAATATTTATTTAATTTCAAATTTATCGCATACCCGTGCCGCCAGTCACGAAAATTTCCTGATCCTTGAATGCTGCAGCAATTGACATGTTTGTACGTACGGATCGCCGACCAAATGCAGTCTAAACGCCTGGAGCACATGTTCGCTGTGTAAGTGTCCGAAGTGCGGTACACAATATGCAAATGCGTTTCAATTAGCCTCTCGCAGACGGGCAGCGGGTCAATCCACTGAATATTCCAACTGTCGCTTGACCACAAGAAACGAAACAAGCATTTTTTTATTTTTTTTTTCGGCAAATGCCACAAGGTGGCGCTGTCCGCCAATCCACCGGAAGCCTGCCTCGCTACCCGCACGCACCTCATGGCAATTTACAATGTAGTTAAATTGTTGCAGCTCAAAAATAGCATTTCGATTTTATAATTGCGTTTGTACTGGATTCATTTTCGTTTCGGGCGGCGAACCTTTTGCTGGTATTCAAACCAAAAATCATTATCAGAAATTTCGAGAGCATAGCTCGTAGAGTTCCTCAGTTCGGTGAGGTCACCTGTACCCTATCTGCAGAGAATGGGTATGTCTCTCCACTATTTGCTGGCTAGCGGTTGAAGGTATTCCAACTTTTTGGTTCACCTGACATTCGAGTACTTGCATCCGAAATTTGACGACCCTAGCTCGCATAGTTCCCGAGTTAGCTGAGGTCAATTGGACCTTGCGATACCACAAAAGCTTACAATATGTTGGAAGGCGAAACTCGTAGCTTTCGCAAAATGCAGAGTATACGAGTTTCGTTGTTGTGGAGCTAAGCGAAAAGTAATGAAAGTACTTGCTTAGTTCAATTGATTTAATCTATGCACATTTTTATTATATATAAGTGCTGTATTATATAACAAGAATGCACAGAAACCTGAAAGTGGTTTGCCATTGTTTAAAAGCCCCCTTCGAAAAGCGGAAAGCCTTGATGAAAACGAATCCAAACATATTGAAAATATTTAAAGAAAAAGATGAGTCTCCGAATGTGGCACAAAGCCAATTTTTGTGAGCCAGTTAAGAGCAAAGCTTTCGAGAACGATGCCAACAATTTGTGATAACGTTAGAAACGGAACTTTAATCGCTGCGTTGGGGTCGCTCGCTTATTTCTGTTTATGAATGGAATGGAATGGTTCACATTGTAAGTTTAAGGTCATTAGCATACAAATGTGTGTGTGTGTGTGTGTGTGTGTGTGTGTGTGGCACAGCCAGTTGCATTTGGAGAGAGAGCACGAGCTTAGACCAGCTGCGTGCGTGTGTGTGTGTGTGTGTGTCTGCGCGACGAAAGCTCGAAAAGTTCGCTGACCCCGCACACACATCAACAGCTTGGGAACAGTTTGCTGGTAATGCGGTATACACATAATACTTGAACAATTATTATTATTTTTTTGCATTTCACATTTTAATTAACATTTTGAGGCGTAAACATATCATCATTCAATACGCATGCAATTAGAAAAAATACAAAAAATGAACTAAATACACATATAAAATTTCAGCTTAAATACATATGTATGTATAAAATTTCAAGGAGTTTACAGCACAGCGAACACACACAGAGTGAGAGAGTGAGAGTGAGAGAGAGCGTAACTTTGCTCACTTCTCTCATTCAGTTCCCCTCCAACTGCACACGCTCGAGTTCGTGTTCGTGTCTGTGTCTGTGTCTGTGAGAGTGTGTGTCGTGTGCATGTGTGCGTGTTACTGCATTTGCCGGCCGGCAAATCAAAAGGTTAGAGCAGGAAATAAAATGAGCAGAAAGTTTAGGCAAAGTCTGTAAAAGCGGTCACAATGGAGCAGAGGGCGTGGGTGGCGGGGGTTTGGCGTTATCAGTTAAAAAGAGTAGACAGTTTAAAGAGTAACAGAAAACAGATTTGGTTAAGTTTTTTTTTTTCCATCATATTTTTGTTTCACTTTGTTGTTTATAATTACATCATAATTAAAAAATAATACATAAGGTTGCGTTTGAAAATTTTACAAAACTCTTAGTGTTGTTGTTGTTGTTGTTGTTTGTGTTTTGCATATTTTTGTGTTTTGTGTGTCTTTTACTTGCTTTTTGGGGAATATTTTACTCGCTTTTCTTTTCTCTTCTTTTCATGTCATGCCGGGAGTGTACGCATGTGTGTGTGTTGTGGTATAGATTTTTTTTTTAAGAAGTGGAATGGCAGAGAGAATATGTTGTTGTTGTTGTTGTTCTCAATTTTTGTAGTTATATTAAAAGGTATATAAAAAAAAAACAAAAAAAAAATATTATGCATTTATATCATATATCTCATGTGAAATAAATTAAATTAATGCTAGAACACAACATGACGACGACGACGATGATGATGTGTGGATAACATTGCGCAGCTCCCGTTTGCTGTTGCTGTTTTTCTTCTTCTTCTTGATGTTGTTGTTGTTGTTGTTGTTGTTGCCACTCCACTTGCTACCCGGTTGGAGGCTGGAGCACTTAGAAGCACTTGCGGTGCACAATGGATGGGCCAGACTCATCGTATTCCTGCTTGGAGATCCACATCTGCTGGAAGGTGGAGAGCGATGCCAAAATGGAGCCACCGATCCATACAGAGTATTTGCGCTCTGGTGGTGCAATGATCTTGATCTTCATGGTGGATGGGGCCAAGGCGGTGATCTCCTTCTGCATGCGATCAGCAATGCCAGGGTACATGGTGGTGCCACCGGAGAGCACTGTGTTGGCATACAGATCCTTACGGATATCAACATCGCACTTCATGATCGAATTGTAGGTGGTCTCATGAATGCCGCATGCCTCCATGCCCAGGAACGAGGGCTGGAATAGTGCCTCTGGGCAACGGAAACGCTCATTGCCAATGGTAATGACCTGTCCGTCGGGCAGCTCATACGACTTCTCCAATGAGGAGCTGGAGGCAGCAGTTGCCATCTCCTGCTCGAAATCAAGAGCCACATAGCAGAGCTTCTCCTTGATGTCACGCACAATTTCACGCTCGGCAGTGGTGGTGAAAGAGTAGCCACGCTCCGTGAGGATCTTCATCAGGTAATCGGTCAGATCGCGACCGGCCAAATCCAGACGCAGAATGGCATGGGGCAATGCATAACCCTCATAGATGGGCACAGTGTGGGAGACACCATCGCCAGAGTCCAACACAATGCCAGTGGTACGACCAGAGGCATACAGTGAGAGCACAGCCTGGATGGCCACATACATGGCGGGTGTGTTGAAGGTCTCAAACATGATCTGTGTCATCTTCTCGCGATTGGCCTTGGGATTGAGGGGTGCTTCGGTCAATAGAACTGGATGCTCCTCGGGCGCAACACGCAGCTCATTGTAGAAGGTGTGATGCCAGATTTTCTCCATATCATCCCAGTTGGTCACAATACCGTGCTCAATGGGATACTTCAGGGTGAGGATACCACGTTTGCTCTGTGCCTCATCACCCACATACGAGTCCTTTTGGCCCATACCGACCATCACGCCCTGATGACGTGGACGGCCCACAATCGATGGGAAGACAGCGCGGGGCGCATCATCGCCAGCGAAGCCAGCCTTGCACATGCCGGAGCCATTGTCGACAACCAATGCAGCAACTTCTTCGTCACACATTTTGTAAGCTGCAAAGAATCAAATTGAAACACAAGAAAAAAAAAATTAACCAAAATGGCCACCATTTCTTCTCAACACTCTCCCTTGAGTGTTTCTGTATGTATATGTATATGTTTGTATGTATGTGTGTGTGTGTGTGTATTTCGGTTTCTCTCTCTTGGTGCAGAGGCAACACCCTGCACATAAATCAACAACTTGACAAAAGCTCAAGAGCATATCACCGTAGCATGCCGGTGCCAAGCAAGTGGCCAAAGGAGAGCCGCTCTCGCTTGTGCATTTGTGTATGTGTGTATACGTAGTCGCATAAAATGGCCGCCATTTGCACGAAGAAGAAAAAAAAAAAAAACAACGGAAAAAAAATTCTCTACATAAGCCGGCACCTCCTAATGTGTATTCGCAATTGTATGTAGGTAGACACTTTTCTTTTAAACTGTTGATTACCTTTTTGTTTTATTTAACAACAAACGACGAAAATTGTTTAAGAAAATTGAATTGAAACTTTGCAATTCAAGTTGAAAAATTTGTAACCCACACTTGGTTATTGGTAGGAGGCGACGAGGCAATAGACTGACTAAAAATGCAACCGCACCGATTGACTGCCGAAAGAGGAATGAACAAGCGACCGAATGCCAGTTAACAGCTATTTCAAGCGCTGCTTCAAGCGACGTCGTCGTCGTCGGCGACGTCGCTGTGATATCTATGCGAGCGCAGTCGCTGCTCTGCCAGCTCGCTCGCACGCAGCGTATGCTGGCGCATGCGTGCGATAGAGAGCGCACGATTAGCGCGCTTGGGTTGCCAACTTTTGTGACCATATATGGTCATGTTTCGACGTGAATCGTCGAGACGGAGAGCTGAAAATGTCGCCGCTTTCGCTCTCTCACGCGCTGTATTGCGGCGATGGCGACGGCGATGGCAAAGCCAACGGTTGACAATGTTGAAGGTTTTCTCCATTTTAGCGCGGCTCATTAAAAAAACCGGCATTTTTGCATTCAAGAAATGCCGAATAACTTTAATGACGTGATTCTTTGACTATTTCTGGCCAACTTGCCTACGTCACTTGCACCGTGGGCAGTCGCCGTACATACAGATACACACATACATACATACACGAACATGTACAAATTACTAACTATACACCCAAACAATTGTGCATACATACATATACATATCTATGTACATTTGCATGTGTGTGTATTATGTCTTTAGGTTGGCCGTTACTTTTCAAATGGTTTGCCATGAAAGTTAATTGAAGCGTGGGAAAAAAAAGAAAGTGTTTGCGAATTTAATTGCAATTTGGCCGAAAACTGTCACCAGTTCTTGCTTTTCGCTTCTTCTTTTCAAATTGATACATGTATGTATATGTATGTATGTATATGTATTTCTTTGGCATTGTATAAGTTTTTGAAATCCGCAACGCAACGGGCACGCCCCAGCACTAGATCTAAACGATACTTGGGGGCTGCATGCATGTGTGCGTGTGCGTGTGTGTGTGTGTGCGTAAAATTTGGTGATAACAAAATTGTTGCGGTAATTGTTTTTTTTTTTTATTCTTCACAAGCGCGTGACTCTTTTGGTTTTTGTTAGATTTGTAATCTTTTTATTGATTACGTTCTCGACTTTTGTTGCTTTTGATATTGTTATCAGCAGGTCTTTTGACATTATCACATATTCCACAGGCACTTGTTTAAAAAAAAAATTGTTTTCGAAAAAAAAAATATAAATAAATATATTATGCTATTCACGATTTCATTGCATTTTGAGCCTTTTTTTTGTAGTTTTTTTTATTATTGATTTATGTACTTATGTATTCGGCCGACTGGCTGATGTACAATACTTACATTTGGTCTGTTTTGATTAAAATTAATTAAATAAATATAAATTAAGTCTTTCGGTTTTGTGTGTCTTTCGTTTAGACGACTTTAGCTGGCTGCTTTAAGCGGTTTTGTGTCGGGAGGTGTATTCCACACTGCACAAGAACTCAAACTGTAATGACATGAAAACTGGTCGCCGTTTGCCGTTTTATAAAGCCCGTGTCCACCCAAACTGGCACCGTAACTTAGCGCCTTATCAGCCGCCACTTGCACACTTCTCCAGGCTGGCAAGCGCTTTACCATATATGGTATGAATTCAATTTTACCCCGTTGCCAGCGTCTGTGTGTGTGCTGCGGCGTATCTATGTGTGTGTGTGTGTGTGTGTGTGTACACATTTATATGTGTGTGTGCGCATATGCTGCTTGCGAAGAGTATTTCGCAGCATAATCCCCTGTTACGGGTGTGACTGCGATCAGGTTGCGTCACTATGCAGTACGCTTTGCACCATGCATGTATGTACATACATATATCATGTATGTAAATCAGAATCTGTAGTGCATTATATAGACTGCATATAAAGTAGGATATTTTGTGATTTTAGTGAATAGTTTCAGTACTTAATGAGAATGAGAGAAGTTTGCTTTATTAGTTGTCTGGCTTTAACAAACGGCATTTTCTCTACACTAAAAACAAATTCAAGCTAAATTGATGAATTATTAAACAAGTGAGTTGTACAATTGATAGAAACATTTCATAGACATTTAAAAACGCAGAGTCTACACTAGTCGTCATGATTGTCGACTTTCAAGCTCGGTTTGTAGCTATACCGGCGCCAGGCTAAAACAGCTGCCAGTTGATGCGTCAACCACGCGTTTGCGCAAAAGAGACAGCGACACACACAAACTCACACACACACACACACACACACACAAACACAGGCAAACACTGGATTGCGCTCATTCACTTGCTGCGCTCAGCGAAATGCTGACTCAACTCCGCTCTGTGGCGCTGGGGTTGATTTTATTTGATATTTAAAACGTATTTTTAAAAATGTACCAGTGCTAAACGGTTAAATACGCACTCTTATTGTTTCATTAAAAGTATTTACAAGATTTAATAGATAAAAACCTCATAGTGTACGATTTTGCTGGGCTTAAAAACAGGCCTTCCAAAATGCATTGCCAAAACCGCTCTCTCTCTCTCTCTCTCTCTCTCTCTCTCGTGCAGCAGTGTTAAAAGTGAAAGAGTGCAGTGTGAATGGCTTGCAGCGTCGGAGAGGGGAAAGCTGCGTACAAACATGCAGCTCATATATGTATGTATGTACATACAAATGCATGCAGGCTGTGTGTATTCAACACATGCATATGCATGAGTAAGTGTATGTGTGTTTGCTCGAATCGCAGTGTTTTTGTAACGGCAATTGCTCATACATGGCTAGCGGACGCATTCCATCGGCAACCGTGATATTTACTATTGCCGGTTGACTAATCATTGTTTAAATAATTGCCTATTTTGAATTAAAATGACGCACAAATAACTAACAAATATCAAAAGCAACCACTTTGGCTCGCAACATACACACATACATACATACATGTCTGTGCTTGTAAGCTAGTGCGTGTTTGTATAGCGCAAGCATAAATACATGCACGTGCACGAACACACATACAGCTACAGACACGAGTATCAGCAGAAACAGCCAAAAAAGAAAAAAAAAAAACAACAACAGGAGAGACAGCGCGAGCAAGAACGAAAGAGGCTCACGCAGGCGTGCTCTCTCGTGTACAGCATAAAAGAAAACAACAAACATTTGGGGAACGCTGGCCAATCATTCGATCGCATTGCATTTCTATCTATATATGTACATACATACATACATACATATTTTGTGTTTGTGTTGGCAGTCACTTGATTCATATGCATGTATGTATGCATGTATATCTATCTCTGTATGTATTTTGTTTTTGAAGAAATCGAATGTAGCGCTGATTGTTGGCCACTGTTCATGGAATTGTTCAAGGCAGACGCTTAATATGAAATGGGAGCTGTCAGTTGTTGTCTTAGTTTCATATTTTAACTGAATAGCTAAAGAAATTCTCATGGTGTTAACTGGTATTCGCCAACGTCAGCATTCGCATTCCAATCAGCCAGCTCGTCTTCTCTTCTTGCTCTTGTTCTGGATCTGCTCTTTCGCAGATAAGCTTTAAACACCCATACATACATACATATATACATATATACCCTACATATCAATGGCTATTTACGTGCATATGTACATATGTATGTATATGTATTGTGTAGAATTTTTCTTTAGTTTTAATGTGTAAAGCTCTGATCTTTTTTTTATATGTTTGTATGCAAGTGTATATTCTAAGCCTATTATAGAGTATACTTTGTTAATGTTGCTTTGGTTTTAAAGCTATTTAATTCATTTGCATGCAACATACATACATATGTATGTACATACATATGTAAAGCTGTTAACAATGATGATTAAATCAATTAAATTCGTGTCAATTAATGGCAATGGAAAAACGTTTTGTTTGTAGGGTATTTGGTTTTCGGCCCCACCTTTGTCTTTTCAACCCTTTGAAATAGCATCAAGGCACATGGGAATGTAAACAGCCAGTTCTAAGCCTATAAACATAGGCATATACATGCATGCATGTGTATGTATGTGTGTGTGTGCATGCATGGACCGATGAGCTGCGGCCTTGTCAGTGGCAAAGGGGGTGTCAAGGGAGTCGAGTGTGTGCACACAGCTGGCTCGATTGAAACTAGAAATAATTAAATGGCCAAAAACGGCGCTTTTGACGTAGCTGATGACTTTGAAACCGCTATGTGTTGACGAAATACAACAACAATCCACAATAATCAACAACAAACTACTACAATAACAACAGCAAAGGCTACTACAACAAGAGCCATGATCAACGACCTTTCTCCAAAAAGTTTGCAGCTCGTCACGTTTTCTACACACACACACACACACGCGCGCGCGCGCACGTAAATGCAAAGAGCAGACGGCGACGGCGACAGTTACAAGCACAGCCGCCACTCGCTCCACACATACACACTGCATATGTTTGATGCGCGTGTGTGTGTGCTCGCATACACGCAGAGAACTTTGTAACCATAAAGAGCGCACGCTGTAGCCCGAGCTTAGACTCAAGCTGAAGCTCGCGAGTCAAAGCCAAAGCCAAAGCCATTGTCAAGGTCATTGAATGAGAAAATTTTTACATTTTTCGCAATTAATTTGGCATTTTAGGCGCGTATTTGGTATTAACATGTGTATGCAGCCCCTCGCTCTCTCGCTCTCTGTCTCTCTCTCGCGCGCCCCACAATTGCACTTGCAGTTGCTTTGTCGCTTTTGGTCACACTGAAAACTTGCACATTTTCACTACAAGTTTTTTATATTTTAGAAAGACAGGTGTGACCAGTTTGACCATTATAAGCCATGCACCAAAATCTCATTAATTGCTTAGTTAATTAGAGTGCGAACGTTTAATTGCAAACTGGGCGTCATTTCGAGTTTAGACGCACCTATTACTGGCTACAAAATTAATTAAAATATGTTTTATTACTATTGTTAGTACAAAGTTAAATAAATTTGAAGGAATATCAATGCATCGACTGACAATAGCTTGCTTCATTAGAGTCATTAGACTGCTTGGCTGATGAGTCTAATGAAACCGCTATGCAGTCTAATGAGTCTAATGAAGCATAGCTCAATCAATAGAATCGGGCAAAACATTTACCCATATGTTTTTACAGGGTATACCCTTTGGTATAATACACTTTCTACAGCATTTCGAGCATACCTTTTTGAAATGCCTGCCAAGCTAAACCTTATTTCAAGCTCATCTTTTTACCAATCTCATTAGTATAATAGCCAATAATTGACAGCCTGGAGTGGGGTATATGGGCACTCCGAGTTAAATGCGTGCGCATGTGAAGCAGTGCCACAAATAGCTGCATGAAAATGTTAATACAAAATGCTCGAATGCCAAATAGTTGTTAATTGCTCGCCTAATTGTGAGCGTGCAGCCGCTAGAGATGAGCAGCATGTAAACTTATCGATAATTGTGCATGTGCTTGACAAAATGTCTCATCTCTAATTGCCAGCTAACGGGCATATTGCGTGAGACGAAAAGCTGGCAGAATTTTAAACGGCTTTCGGAAAAGTGAAAAATGATGTTTTATTGTTGTGCGGTGCGCAATTTTTCACAATTTCACTTTGTGGCCAATGCACGGCTATGTTTGTGCGTGCCTCATGCATTTGTCTCTCCTTCTGCCTCCCACCCCACTCCCCCCTGTCGCTCTCTCTCTCTCTCTCTCTGACTGCCAGTGTGTCCAACCATTTGATTTGCTGTGGGTGAACAAAAGGTGCGCTGCCACAGCTAAATAATTAGCCAATTCCAAAATTTTGTGGTCAACAAAGCATGAAAAACTAGAAAGAGACAGCTGCGAGAGAGAGAGAGAGAGAGCATTAATCCAGCAAACAGTTATATTGTGATCAAGACTGCCAAACTGGGTTTGAACCACACTGGTTCGAATTTTTGGTAGCAAGGCTTTAACGAGAACTAGATTTCGAGTATGTTCTTTAAAATAACAATATTCAGAAAATTCGATTCGATTCAAGCCTAGGAATTTGCTTAGAATGTTGTTGGGAAAACTTATTATCGTATGCCGTATATTTCATTAGATTCCATAATTATTTATTTTATATATATTTTCATTACATTCAGATACTTTTTTTTTCTTTTGTAACAATTTATCGCAGAATATTTGCTCGCTGGGCGAACTGAAAATTTCATTGAGTCACTCAGTCGTCAGACAGCAAATAGTTATGGGTTGTCCGCTGCGGAATGGGTGAAGGGGGGGGGGGGGGCTTGGCATTTCTTTGCTCGGCAACTCTGGTTGGCAAAGCAACCGCAGCCGAAGGTGTTACAGCAATTGTACGTGATACATGCGCATTGTGGGAGTCCCAGACAGCAGACCCCGTCTGAGTCGCACTTTTTCTTAAGCTTTTTATTTCTCAACTTTGATACCCTGTAATCGCTGAAAAGCAGAAATGGGGTGCACTCGCATGTGCAGCGGTAACTGGCGACTGGGTGGGACCTTCCCCCCCTTCGAGCAGGATTCCATTTCCATTTCCCATTAGAGCTTCATTATCATACTTCTATGCCATAAGCACTGAAAATTTTACATGGATCGGACAATAAGCACCGAACAGTTTCAAGAATGTTTCTTTCATGTTTGCATTAGCGTGCATAAAGCTAAGTCTGCATGGATGCAGGGCATCTGCCAGTCGGGCATTCGTCAGGCTGCACTCTTACTTTTTTTATTTAGCTACTTTGTTATTATTTTATTTTTATTTTTTTTTTCATACTGCGGCATCAGCGTCGGCGAGACTCCGACTGTGAGCGAACCTGATGCCGGCGTCTGACTGGATTTTCCATTATTTTGATGTTGTTGTTTGCCATTTTTTAACGTCGTAACGTCGTAACGTCGCCTCGCTGGGCATAGTAAGTATCTGATTAGCGTCAATCTGGGATGGGAACTGCGAGCTGCGAAAAGGCTAGAGACAAAACGTATATATACCAATGTTTCTTCCTAACGATAAATGTATATTGTATTATAAAGATTGATAGATAGAAAGAATTCCAGAATTCAGATATTCTCAACTTTGAAGACAGAACGAGTTGAGTTAGCCAAAAAAGTTATTTATTCGCCTAGCGCTTATACCCTACATATGCAAGTGTCTCCAGCAACAATTAAACTCAACAATATGCAAAGAGAACTAACTAATAGTTCGGTTAAGGGTCATTTTAATTAACCCAGACAAATTATTCGAACCATGTAAAGTCTAAAGTACAGCTGCTTCAAGCGAATACTCTATGAAAATACCAAAAAAAATAATAAACAAAAAATACTTATGTACATTTTTCGTTTTTTTGAGTTTCTCTACAAATTTCAGATGTACGAACATCACGTGCGTGGCCCTGGAACTGCTGTAATCTCCACTTACGTAGCAAACTATTTAAAAACTCTCCAAAAAACTGTGCATAAATTCGACAGCTTTTCAATATGACAGTTCACACACACACACACACACACGTGTATTATAAGACGTTGCATTTATATGGCTAAAGCAACATATTTGCATGGTGAAGTAACTGTGACAACTAAAACTACTATAAATTGAACTACAGTGAGCACACGCTATGGCCGCTAATTGCTTTTTATTTATGTTTTCAAATAAAATTTAGATCAATTTCTTTTATGGCTCTGACACATTTCTATCAATTGCTTGTCGCTGTAGATGGCGCCAGTGTCTCATGCTTGGAGAGTGCACTCTGTTAGCGGCCGTTGCGTTCCACTGTTAGCGAGTCTCCACTTTAACAGCGTATCTAAAGAAGGCCGCGGCCGCAAGAATGTGGGTTGCAAAAATAAAACCTTAAGTGGTTTTTTAATCAAAACGAGCGACGCCTATGTGTGTGTGTGTGTGTGTGGGTGTGTGTGTGTGTGCGTGTGTGTGTGTGTTATACTTACATATGTAGCGTGTACTGGCGCAAACGTTTGTGTAGAGCGCCGCCCACTCACACACGATCTAATTCCCATTTCCATTCCCACTCGCATTGCTGTTCCCATTCCAGGTGAATTTTGGGTCGGCGGCTTTGCTGAAGCTTTTCGCAGGGTTGTTACGGTTCACCGCTAACAGCTGGGCGTGCGCTGTTGTGTGTGTGTGTGTGTGTGTGTGTGTGTGTGTGTGTGTGAGTGTGTGTGCGTGTGAACAACATCAATTAAACAGACAACAAATTCAAATAAAGTTGGCAACTCTGCCGCTGGTCAGCAATTAAACAAATTGAAAAAAATAAACGCACGTGAATCCCTGCGTGTGCCTGAGTGCGTGCGTGTGTGTGTGTGTGTGTGTGTGTGTGTGTGTGTGTGTGTGTGCATTAGTGTGGGCTGTGACGTGCGTGCAACAGGAGGAACTGGTCACACCCAAATTGAAAATGAGGCGCTGCACGTGGCAAGCATTGCGTGAAGGCGTCGCCTTAAGCATTTATTGTCAACAGAATCCATAAGTTGTCGCACTTTCAGGCGTTCCAATCAGCGGATATGACGCTGATCTATAACGGAACTGGGCTTTGTACTGAAAGCTATCTCATGCGGGCACACACACGCACACACGCACACACATGCATATCACTTACACTTACGCGCACATACTTAACTTAAGTGTGTTGCTTATTTAAAGATATGGCAACACTGGCCCAGCAGCAGCTAGGGGCGCCTTGTTGCCGTTATCATAGATATAAATATGTGAACACTCACGTCCATTACAATTGCCCAGGCCGCCAATAAATATTAAAGCAACAAAAACAAAGGCATACATGCACACATATGCACATATCTACACACATACACACATAGCGATTAACTAAATTGAGTGATAAACATTTGTTTGTCAGCAACTAAATAAAAATATGAAATTAATGTGCATTTCATTTGTTGATACTGATAAAAACCCAATGAATTGTCCAATGACTCAACCATAAATAAATTCTGGCTCGAGTGCGCATTCCAGCGGCTGTTTAGCCGAGAGCGAATCGTGCTTATCATTGGAATTAGACATTGACCATGGGGAGCAGAGGGGAGCGCGCTCAATGAGTCATTTCTCTTCCCACACGGACGTGGACAACAAGCTCGCCTTACACACACACACACACACGCACACACACACACAACATCACTGGGGCGGCTTGAGGGTCGCATTGAAACATGACGCGGCAGCTTAATTCCATGTTATTGGAATGATTCATTCGGCTGAAATGAAAAGTACAAAAATTCAGTTAGACAATTTGCATATGAAACATCGAAGAAAGCAACGTCAACAACAGCTACAAAAACGAGTTGCTAAAAACAATAACAATCGGAACAATAATAGACAACGCAGTAGATTGAAACAAAACGCTTGCCGTTTATTTTTACAATAGCGGCGCAAACTAGGTGAACGGTAAACAAAATACATGAATGTGATCCCAAAGCGCGCCACGCAAAAACAATAGCAAATACACGCAAGAGGATATACATACATATGTATGCATGTATGTATGTATGTTAATAATTGAGCATATTTAACACACACAAACACATTTAATCACGACTCTGTGCTAAACGAGCGAGCGAGCGAGCGAGAGGGCATGCGTTCCCGTTGCCCGACAGTTCACAAATCAAATGCGAACAGCTGCCGCGCAGCCGCAGCCTCAGCCGGCGCGCACCTGTAGCCGTAACAGCAGCAGCAAGAAGAAGAAGGAGAACAACAACAACAGCAACAACAACGTTGGCGACGTCTTCGTCTCCCATTGTTGACAGTTACGTTTGAAATGTTAAGAAAAACAGAAGTCGAAGCGGCACAAAATCCGATAAACTTGTTTTCAAACAACGGAAGAAACTGGCTGCAGCAAAAAAGAAGAAATACAAAATTTACAGCACTAGGCAGCAACATAGAAACCTTCTTTTTATTTGTTTTTTTTTTTTTTCAATTAGCCATATAATGTGTTTTGCATATGCATGCATGCATGTGTATGCGCTCAAACATTTTATATGTATACATATGTATGCATGTGTATTAACATATGTTAAAATGTTAATATCTATACATATATGTATGTGCGTAGCTTTAAAGCGCATCTATTTTTATATCCAGTAATGTGCACAGTTATTTCAAATGGTCTCAACAACGGTGCTTAGGCAGCTGGAAATGGGAGCCACACACACACATGCATACATGCACACATGCACACATGCATACATGCATGTTTGCGATACATTCTTATGCATCTTGAGCCAGCGGCTGCTTGGAAGTGTCTAGAACGGCGGCTGTCTAATGAGCGAAAGAAAATTACCATGCTTATAGCACATCACTCGGCATTTTATACTCAATGATCCTCGGAGTGGCATCCAGTTGCCTTGAAAGCTTCGAACAGCACCAAAACATGCGCATGTCATGTGTTGGCTCAAGTAGAAGTTCACGAAGACATTGAATACGGTAATTCGTGCTTTCTATCTGCGCACTTTTCACTTTCTAGTCTAGGCAGCTTGGAGCTAAAAATAAAATACACTCGGCAATAACAATAACACTAACTATGACAATAAATTGGAGACTTTATGTACATACATGCAAACAAAAACTCTACACATGTACATATGGGCTTGCTGTTACATTTGGTACTTTTGGAGTGTTTTTCTTGTTGCTTGGAATATTCACTTGCGAAGTTTGAAAGTTGGAAGGCTAGTATATGTATGTATATGTATGCATGTGTTTATTGAACAAATGTTATTTTTTGCAAGGAAAACAATAAACAGCAGCAGCAATCAGAAACAATTCAATGCTTTTGGCATTTTTGTTTGTTTTTATTTGTGAATTTTAATTTTATTTTGCATAATTTATTTTGCCTTTCGACGCTTTCAGCCGCACACACGCACGCACACTCGAGCGCATGCGTAGCTGCGCCAAAGCCATTGACATTGAGCTGTCTCTGCTGGCGTCACTGTCGACGTCGACATCGCTGCCGCTGCCGCTGCCGCATTTGGCCGTTGCCATTTTGAATGAAACAACGCCAAGCTTTTTGTTTTTTTTCCCTCTCTCTCCCGCTCTTTTGCTGATTTATATTGAATTTTTACCTAAAATGTACATGCTGCTAAGTTTGTGTGTATGTTTGCCTGTGTGTTTGTGTGTGTGTGCGTGTGTATGTTCTATGTTGTTTTTTTTTTTGGATTTCAAACTGTAACGATTTTTGTATTTCGAGCAACGGAAATTGACAATGTTGCCATATTTTGGCTGCTCCCGCTGTGATCTAAGCTTTAGCTAGAGATGACAACAGAATCTGAACACTCTCTTGCTCTCTTTCTCTCTCTCTCTTTCGTTCTCTCCTGCTGTAAAAGGCATTGCATCCGGCGTTTAACTATTGCGCCTCAGGAAGCCGTCGCAATTTAAACGCCCCATTTTGGGCCTTACAAATTTACGTAGCCTTTTTGGTCTTAACGACAAATCGACAGAATGTCATGTGCGCATATTAAGACATCCGTTTGCATGAGTTTTCCAGCTAAAGCCAACTGCAATGCGATTTAATCGACACAGGTGAACTCTTGGGCTTTTTTTTTTGGGGCTATGAATAGGTAGATTCATATGATATACAAGGGCTATACAACTTTTCAAAATGCATATTAAAACTCTTAGCTATCCATTGAAATACATATGTTGATTTTATTTGAGCAGTTAATTATATTTATAGCTCTAGCTTTTCATCAGTGGCGCAAAAAACACACACAAAGATATGGTTTAACGGTATTGCAGCGGTCCAACAAAGTGAAAGACTTTCACTAGCTAATCAGAATTTCAGTGAACGTGCGACAAACATCACAACAAAAGTTTTATTTTTCAATTTTGGTTCAATTATTAAGCAAATTTTTGCGAAAGTAAACTTTTTTAAATACCGTTCGATCAAACTGTATCTGTATCTGTATCTGTATCTGTATCTGTATCTGTATCTGTATCTGTATCTGTATCTGTATCTGTATCTGTATCTGTATCTGTATCTGTATCTATCTGTATCTGTATCTGTATCTGTATCTGTATCTGTATCTGTATCTGTATCTGTATCTGTATCTGTATCTGTATCTGTATCTGTATCTGTATCTGTATCTGTATCTGTATCTGTATCTGTATCTGTATCTGTATCTGTATCTGTATCTGTATCTGTATCTGTATCTGTATCTGTATCTGTATCTGTATCTGTATCTGTATCTGTATCTGTATCTGTATCTGTATCTGTATCTGTATCTGTATCTGTATCTGTATCTGTATCTGTATCTGTATCTGTATCTGTATCTGTATCTGTATCTGTATCTGTATCTGTATCTGTATCTGTATCTGTATCTGTATCTGTATCTGTATCTTATCTGTATCTGTATCTGTATCTGTATCTGTATCTGTATCTGTATCTGTATCTGTATCTGTATCTGTATCTGTATCTGTATCTGTATCTGTATCTGTATCTGTATCTGTATCTGTATCTGTATCTGTATCTGTATCTGTATCTGTATCTGTATCGTATCTGTATCTGTATCTGTATCTGTATCTGTATCTGTATCTGTATCTGTATCTGTATCTGTATCTGTATCTGTATCTGTATCTGTATCTGTATCTGTATCTGTATCTGTATCTGTATCTGTATCTGTATCTGTATCTGTATCTGTATCTGTATCTGTATCTGTATCTGTATCTGTATCTGTATCTGTATCTGTATCTGTATCTGTATCTGTATCTGTATCTGTATCTGTATCTGTATCTGTATCTGTATCTGTATCTGTATCTGTATCTGTATCTGTATCTGTATCTGTATCTGTATCTGTATCTGTATCTGTATCTGTATCTGTATCTGTATCTGTATCTGTATCTGTATCTGTATCTGTATCTGTATCTGTATCTGTATCTGTATCTGTATCTGTATCTGTATCTGTATCTGTATCTGTATCTGTATCTGTATCTGTATCTGTATCTGTATCTGTATCTGTATCTGTATCTGTATCTGTATCTGTATCTGTATCTGTATCTGTATCTGTATCTGTATCTGTATCTGTATCTGTATCTGTATCTGTATCTGTATCTGTATCTGTATCTGTATCTGTATCTGTATCTGTATCTGTATCTGTATCTGTATCTGTATCTGTATCTGTATCTGTATCTGTATCTGTATCTGTATCTGTATCTGTATCTGTATCTGTATCTGTATCTGTATCTGTATCTGTATCTGTATCTGTATCTGTATCTGTATCTGTATCTGTATCTGTATCTGTATCTGTATCTGTATCTGTATCTGTATCTGTATCTGTATCTGTATCTGTATCTGTATCTGTATCTGTATCTGTATCTGTATCTGTATCTGTATCTGTATCTGTATCTGTATCTGTATCTGTATCTGTATCTGTATCTGTATCTGTATCTGTATCTGTATCTGTATCTGTATCTGTATCTGTATCTGTATCTGTATCTGTATCTGTATCTGTATCTGTATCTGTATCTGTATCTGTATCTGTATCTGTATCTGTATCTGTATCTGTATCTGTATCTGTATCTGTATCTGTATCTGTATCTGTATCTGTATCTGTATCTGTATCTGTATCTGTATCTGTATCTGTATCTGTATCTGTATCTGTATCTGAATCTGTATCTGTATCTGTATCTGTATCTGTATCTGTATCTGTATCTGTATCTGTATCTGTATCTGTATCTGCATCTGTATCTGTATATGTATATTTGTGTCTGTTACTTAGTCTGAAATTTCAAATTCGTATTTTGAATTCAAGCCAGCTGCAGCAGCAGTAAAAGGCGTTTGCTACAAACGAGTTACGTTTGGAGATGTGCATAGAAAATTAACTCAACAGTTGAAAAGTTAAAAGAAACCGTTAATAGCCACTAAGAGTGTTTAAGTAGAGAGTGCACGACTGGGAGATGCCCTGTAAGCTGCGGTAGATTATTTGATTTTTGTTCAATGTTGTGATATCTTAATATTCAAATATTTTGGATGTGCAATTAACAAATTCTTTGAGTAATCCTTAGAAACTTTGGAATAAACGAAATATGTGCTTGCAATAGAAGTATCTGATATACCTGATATATTTCCCAGTTCAATAGTTACAGGGTATACTGAATCAGTCAGATTCACCCAGCCAACGTAGCTGTTTCTGTCTCTCTGTCCATTTCTACGCTGTGATATAACCCGAAGCCATTTACTCCACTTACCTTTTATGCTAAGGCCTTACTAACTTATTTACCTTACTGCTAAAGCTTAGGCTAATCCAAGTTTCGAACATCAGCAGACCTTATTATGCACTGTGGGCAGGCGAACGCCTTTAACATGTTGAGAATTACAAGCGACAAAAGTGCAGCCTGCATGGGACAGTTCCTTTAACACTGGGTCAACAACTGTGCCTAGTTGGGCTTATACTAGAATTATGTCAAATAAATAAATGAATGTCAAAATATACGAAATGGTTCAGCAAGAAGTTAGCTTAGGGCATTCGGTGTGGCCTCACACAATAAGCTGCCATATTTTTACCAAAGAGCGATAAGCAGAAGACGTATCGATGGGCTCTTGAAGGGTCTGAATCACAGATCGGTTAACACCCAGCGATAAGGTTGCGATGGGCATTTTGGGCATATGCAGCAATGGGATTTTTTTCAACGAATTTTCGAGAAAAAAAAAAAGCAAAACAAAAAGGGGAAAAACAGAGCGAATTATTTGGGAAAAACCAGAGCGTGACGCATTGCATTTCCATTTCGGAGTCTGCGGCTGAAAAACGAAAAGTGCTTTCTGCACCGTCGCATTCGGATGCATTATTTATAAGCCAGGCCGAGCCAGCTGAAGAGCTGCTGTTTGATGGCAATGGATGCGAATTATCGCAAAATCAATGCGTATGACTCACCCAATAGGCGTCTGGGTCGCAGACGGCTTTTCCTCCGCTCCCCAGCCACCGTGGATTTTCCAATGGCAGTTGTGAAAGTGACACGTGCGCGAGGCATGCCAGTTGGGTCTTTTTTATTTATATATTTCATTTCATCTGATACCCTGTAATGCCGAATCGTATGCCAGTGGGTATATTGAGGCAAACGCATGATGACCCATTATCAGACGTCGACTTTATCTGCTTCTCTCTGCATTTGCATATTTCTTTCAGAGATATTTGGCTTGCGGACTTATCTAAAATATGACAGACTTTTCATCAAAATACACTCTGTACACTGAGAGAAAGGCTTAAGAACTTTTAAGTTTTATCCTTTTTAAAATATCTACACTCTCAAATTAAGCTAGTTCAAAAAGAACAATTCCAGAAACTCACAGATCTTAAATGAAAACGTTTTCTTCCTTTGTGCAATTTTTTGTACAATAGATCTTTACACTGAGAGAAAAGCTGCTTCTGAATATTTCCTATATATCCTATATCTATAACAATTCTTACTATTTTTTTAAGATAAAGATCCGGTTCAGATTCTATATAGGTAATACTTATACGAAATGCAACAAATTTCAGAAGAGTTGCGCAATCTAGCTGAAAGTTATCTGCAAAAACGAAGCGCTCACATTTCTCTACAGGGTATTTGTCAGTCGGACAAGCGTGCTTTTAGCTTGCCCACATGTTATTTATTTTCGAGTAATTTTTGCAAGTTTTGGCAAAATTATTCGCCTCACCCAAGCGCCGTTTGATGGGGTATGCACATATGGCATAGGGGTGAACCGCCCTTCCAAGAAGTAGACACACACACACACACACACACGCGCGCACACCCATGCTGTCTGGGGTGGTTGCTCTGCGTAACACGCGAAAAGGAAGGGTCGTCGCGACGTTGGCGCAACCTTGAGCCCGTTTCTATTTTTTTTTTGTTTTTCTTTTTCTATTCCGTATTTTTGGTCAGCCTGAGGGTTGAGGATGAGAGGCGCACTGCACGCCCTGTGCGTGCACCGGAAACGGTCGGGCCTGGGTTAACAACATGCGAGCGACTCGATATCGTGGGCGTCGCAAGCGAAACCGACGAAAATGCCCGACTAGCAGATACCCTTAAGCCAAGACTCAAGCTTCGACAATGGGTAATGCATACGTCCGAATATAGACTCGGACCATAGAGTCCGATTCTCCTCAAAATGAGCCAATATGCCATACCATAGATATTGAAATGTGATGATAAATGAAAATATATATTGCAAATATCAGGTCTCGCCAAGTATCGACATTATTGAAGATATTGAAAGCATACAGATAATGTTCATATATTTCAAGTCTGCAGCTGCGCAGTTTTCGAGCCCGGAGCGTTCACACAGACGGACATGGCTATATTCTCGTCCAGATCAAGAATATATATATGTGTATATATGCTCGGAGATGCGTCCTTCTGCCTGTTACATAAATACGCCCAAAAATGAGCGTACGCTTTTTGCGAATTTTCATTTTTTTTGCAGGGTATAACAAGAGCAACCACCACAACCACAACGGGCGAGAGGGTGGCTCGCAGTCGGCTTCAATCAGCTGTTATTGCCGGGGGTGTATGCTAGGGGTTGTGGGCTCGTCAACAAAAACCATCAATGAATTATGCAGGCCACAGTGTTTGGGTGGTGCAACGGCCGGCCACACACACACACACACACACATACGGACACACACACGCATATGACTAATCAGCCGGCTTTCATTATCGGCCTGGCCAAATATGGGCGCGTTCTCTGACTTTCCGGCTGCATTGCGCATAAATTTCGAGCTCAACGATAAGAACCCAAACTATATATATATATATACCAGCGATAATAAATGTATGCCCACCCATATATGCATGATATATGTATATGGGCAATCGCAAGCCCAAGTAGCGCACTTCGAGAAAAAAAAGAAAAGAAAAACATCTCTCTTCTTAAGCAGCATCTTTTCGGCTCGCTACCCTAACCGAGGGTATTCCGTTTAGGTAACAGGCTTGGCTTAAGATAAAAAACCTAATATATTTTACAGTACATCTGAACTAAATCCTTGGCTTAGATATGTAGACAAGACTTGGTATCGATATACAGCGTTGCATCAGGAATTACTCAAAAATAGAGGCTTAAATTTTTTTCAACGAGAAGAAGACATCTTCAATATAATACACAATTGAGAGAAAAGCGAGTTAATTCATATGTTGCGAAAGGGTATTTGAAAGTCGGCATCCATTAAGCGCGCTGCTGCTTGTTGCTGCTTCGCTGATAAAGTCATGCACGAAGAAAACAAAGAGCGAGTAGCGATTGCCCGCAACTCTTTGAAGCAGAAGAAGGAGAAGAAGAAGAAGAAGAAGAAGAAGAAGAAAATGCACTCAAAAACAAGGCTCGGCCCTCGAGAGCGGCGCTCAAGAGCAATGCGCATCGCATGCGGGGCCCCGCGGGGTGTTAATTTATGGCAGTTCAAAAGGGCGTGGCGCCGGGTCCGAGTCTGGGTCTGGGAAGCGCTTCCGCTGCTGCCAAAAAGAAACAAAAGCAAAGCATGAAAACAACGTAAGGAAAGAACAAGAAATGAACGAACACATAACCAAAAAAAAAAAAAAACAAGGCTTAAGCATAAGAGACAAATGCTGCAATATGCGGGTGTGCGGCATATTGGCGAGGAGGGGGGCTGTCACTGCAAACAGCAGACACATATACATATGTACATATATATGTACAACACGCTATGAGTCATAAAGGGAGTTGCAAAGTAGTTTCATATGTATGTATTTTTTTAAGTTTTCAGAATTGGCCACGCAAATGCCCGACAGGTAAACTTAGTGGGAAACGTGTCTGCTTATGAATCGCAAAGCCTGCGGTTTCATTATTAATAAGCAGGTACGTATTTCTACAATTGCAGGTGTTTTCATATCGCCAAGCTGCGATACTACTTATTTAGCTGCTTATCAGCAAAAAGCAAATAAACTGCAGAAAACAGGCAAAAAAAAAAAAACACCTAATCGTTCGATTTATAAAAATACCAAACATTCTATCAATAATGCTGCATAGCCTAAATTTAAGAGAGCCAAGCGTTTGAGTGAGAGCGTAAGCTTTCTATGCAAATTTAACGCACAGTTCTTAAGCTCTTGCGTGGGCTGCAGATTTATGATCCACTCTCACAGCAGGCGTACATGCGTATGCATGTACATTTTTGCGTGTGCATGCATGCCTGTGCCTCGTGTGTGTGTGTGTGTGTGTGTGTGTGTCTGGGCGCTGATCAAAGAGTCACTCACTCACTGCGGAAACGGAGGCGCATTAAAAAGGCCAAACACGTTCACAGCACACAACAATAAGAAAATAAAAGGGAAAAGCTGCATACATTTATTACTATATACTATATATGTATATACATATTTATGCATGTAGGTAAGTACATATATAAGTTGAAGTTGAGGACCGGCAAAAATTATATTCACAACGTGAAATTCGTTAATATTCCACTTGCATAGGACAGCGAACGATGCGAGGCTCCACAAGAAAGCCAGAGAGAATGGGAGAGGAAGCGGGAGTAAGAGAATGGAGTCTTAGGATCCGCCGGCAATGTGCGTACACAATCGATTTGTGTGTGTGTGTGTGTTTTTATTATACAATAATGAACAACTCAAATTGGACATGACAGGCGACAAAGATTTAGCTGACGATGACGACGCGCTTATGATTCAATATATGTGCATATATGCATATCTGTATATAGACATGCACACGCACAGACATGCACACATGCATAGTTGGGTGTGTATTTTCCGGCGTTTTGGTAGCCTGCGCACACACCCACGCACACACACACACACACACACACAAAACAAAGTGCAGACGTGCATCATAGAGAGAAGGGCGCGGTAAGTTCAAGTTCAAATTCATTTGTATTATTTTTCTTGCCTTTTGAGTGTTTTCCGGTCTGGCCCCTTTTTATGCAGCTGTGTGCTTGTGTGTGTGTGTGTGTGTGTGTGTGTGTGTGTGTGTGTGTGTGTGCTATGCTATGCCTGCACACATATGTATGTATGTATGCCAGACTGGCCCCTGAGCATGGCTAATGCGCATGCGCCCACACGCGCTCTCTCATCCTCTCTCTCTCTCTCTGTCTCTCTTGTGCGCATACGCTCGTTTAGAAAGAGCAGCTCGTTCGACTGCAGCTCACCGAAATGCAATGCCAAATATGGTTATACACTATGTAGGATGCATCAATCGGCCGCTCTTGTTCTATTTTCGACATTCACCACCCTTTCCCCTGACTCCTACAATACGGTGGAGCATTTAATGTATAAATATCGAATGCTTTCGTTCAGTTAAAGCTCAGCTTAGCTATTTAACGCACAATTGTGTTGCGGTTGATTGAGTGATAACCAAAGCGCTGCGAATTTCTATGCGATGCTCAAGTGAGTGGCTTTTGGTGGCGAAATGTAGAGCACACACATATTCAGATGTACATGCATACATACATACATACATGCAGACACTGATCACACTCGTTCCACAACAACGACAATTGCCCATATGGCCTGCATCTCGATATCGGCCTTTGCTGTTAGCTCTCTCTCGCTCGCTCTCTGGCTCTAGCTCTAAGTCCATTTGTGTGCTGCCGTGGATTTCATCTAACGCAGCATAAAAAGTGAAAACCATTTGCTTTGTGTCTAAAAAAGGGCATGAAACATTTTTCACGAGATGCCACACAAAAAAAAAAAAAAAAAACAAAACAAAAATCGCCATCAAATAAAACGAATGCGAAAAAAAAAATAACAAACTAAAAGCTACACTAACAATGCTGCCAATTTTAACGGTATTGTAAGCCAGCTGTGTGTATACATACATACATACATGCATACGCAGATGTTTAACCACTCACTCTGTCTCGCTCTTTCTTCACCGTTAACATCAAATGCAGCTGTCAGTTTTGTCAATGCTCTTGCATCCCATTTGAGCGCGCCTGCGCTCTCGCCCGTGCTCTCTCGCTCTGCCCTTCCATATTGACAGTCGTCTCTCGTTGAGTGTAAGTGGGGTTGGGCTGCCCGAAATTCGCCGCAAAATTGTGCCCAAATAGGGACAACTTTTGGTGACAGGGGAAATGAAATACTACTTATAAAAAAATAAATGGGAATTTTTGTGTATTTGTTGTTTTCAGGCATGGTTTACGCCTGCGCTTACTCTCAGTAATTCTGTTGTCTGCGCTGCACGTGCAATATTACACATGTGTTCGTGTCGCTCTTTCCCCTGACATTTGCCGGCTGCTGTAGCTTACACACACACACACACACACACATGCACAGGCATGCATGTATGTAGTTGAATGCATGTCATTGTCATTGGTCTCAAGCAAACGCATTGTGAAGGTTATCAAGCAACAAGAAAAGCTCATAGCCTGCAAAGGGTATTATGTCTATATAAAGGGTATTATAATTATGCCAAGCAGCTTAAGCAACAACAAAATGCCATTTTCAGCTGCAATATATGTAAGGAGGGAAAGAGATGGCTAGATTTAGCTTTGGCTTAGATATTGCCGAATTGATGTATGCACATACATACATGCATACATGCATACATTTACAGTTAAGACAAAAGAACTATGCTAGAGGCACATCCAGGAAATAAACAGTTGTTTTGTTAACTTTTATCATTTTTCAATTTGGGCCCAAAATGCGTAATGTTCTTGTAATGATAACTGTAAATTTATCGATTACAACTACAGATATGACTGCATGTGTGTGTGTGTGTGTGTGTGGGTGTGTGTGTTGTGGAAAGGGCTAGGGGGTTAGCTCAAAGGCTTGAAGATTAAACTTTATTTTGTGTTATAATCAAATACTCTACTTAAACTGAGCATTTCGAATATTTTGGACACTTTTCGTCAATTTATTGTATTTTTTTTCCGCTTATGTTGCCCGATAAGATAAAAGCAGAAAACGAAAAAAAAACCAAAAGTGCTCCAGTTGTGTGTGACCGACTGGCAGATACCCTATAAACGACAGCGAGTATGCATTGAAGCATATATAAGAACGCACACACACACACACAAAGAGAAGCTGCTTAGCAGTGCTTCTTCTTCCTGAGATGCCTCACTTTTGTAAATGCGGTCTTGAATAACTCCGATATTTGTGGTCCTATTGCTATGAAATTTCTAGGCTCTAAATATGTCAAGCGAAAGTCAAGTGGAAGGCTCTATCTTCAAAAGTTTTCCCATTTTATGCGATATTGGCGATGGTTTTTAATGAGGTCAAGATACAAGGCATCGATAATTATCGATAGTATTGCAGAGCGGAAAAGATCGATTACAAATTTATTGCTGTCAATCAAGAATATCTAATATATGTACATATATGCTTGCACATACATTCGCATAAAAACATTATATCCTTTCCCACATGAATACAGGGTATACGATTATAAAAGCAACATTGACGCAAACGTTATTTTCCATCAAAAGTTTGTGCGAGGCCTACGTAATTGCCAGAAAAAAAAGGCACATATCTAACCATGACCATAATTTGATAAGAGCCAGATAAGCGAACTATGTTATTAGAATTGCTCACACACACACAAACACACACACACACACACACGCGCACACTAGTGTGTGTTCAGATACATAGCATTTATCTAGTTTATCTCAGAACATGCAATTTGTCATGACAATAGATGAGTTCAGATGCGTTTTCGGAATACAAAAAAAAAAAACAGTATCAAAAAATGACATCATACGCGAGGACAGAGCTCTCAATGATGATAAAGCGGCCTTCCTGCTATTCAGAAACATGCGTAAAATATTACAAAACAAGTAAGAGGTTCTAGTCGGCAGCTCCCGTCTAGGGGATACCCCAGACCCTCTTCTTCCAACATCAAATGCATATATATATTCTATTTCTAGACTCTAGCTTTTATTATTTATCAGAATTGCCCAAAAAACAGAATATCGATATCGATTTTTATCGATTGCTTTGAAACGATTATCGATTATCGGCAACTAACTCGATCTGGGCAGGCACTAGGAGCACATACATCTAAAAGTTTCTAGCTCTTATGGGTTCTGAGATCCCTGAGCTTATACTCACGGACAGACGGACGGACGGAGATTCGGACTTGGCTAGATCGACTCGACTCCGTCGGAAATGCTTCCTTCTGCCTGTTACATACATTTGGATTTTGCACAAATACAATATACCCTTATACACATTTTGAATGCGTTCAGGGTATAAAAAATGTATATAAAATAAACTTAGCTAAATATAAATAATCATTCAAAAGCCTAAATTAAACAAATAAAAAGCCCATTTGCTTCATCCTTGAGAGACTCTCTGCGAATTTAACGTTTGCTTCGATTTCGGAGTTCGGAAAAGTTTCCGAACTATGCTTAATAATCTTGATAATATCTTAGTAAGCTTACCAGTTTTCTGTTTAGATGTAGATTTCTAGATTTACTTGTTTAATGCCTCAAATGGATATATAGCTTACTTTCGTAGGGGTTCCGTTAATTTCGAATGGTATAAAAATATATTTAGAATTGGAATCATTCAGTATTTTCACATTCCAGGCTTGATTTCGGAATCCAAGCCATGTGCCATATCTCTAGTAAAAGATATTGGTTTGGGAAGAAGGGAAAAATGCAAATAAGTTCAGCTCGATGGGGTTTACGTGGACCCTGAAAGAGTCGCGCATATTTATCAATTTCTTTAGCCAGAAACAATGTGACCAATTGTACTTCATATTGACATTGGTCAACTAATCGTAAAGCCCATAGCTGATAAGATTTATCAATGGGGTGTGGAGGGGGGCTGAGTGGGGCAGCTGTTGCCTAATCACATGAGGTTCTCATTGCAAAGACCCAAAGCCAAAAGGCAGCCTATAAAAAAAAAACACACACAGATAAAACACTGAAATACCGTTGATAAGAGCCGATTTGCAGTGCTTGTGGTCAATTGATTTTGCCGGTGAATGAGGCAGGGCAGGGGGGGGGGGGGGGAAGCAACATTACTTAACCCTGAAACTTGACAATCGCTGCATGTGACACAACTGAAGGGACACAATACAATACACAATCTACGCCAAAGTGTTGCTATATTTGTGGCCAGCACTGTAAAGCTTATGCTCCGCGGGCAAAGCTCACGCACGTTTGACTGCGGCAAAGCTTTTACACTGCTGGCAAAATGCTGAAGGTAACGTTTGAAAGCCGCAAAAACGAATCAATTTTAACATTTGTAACTAGTTACCAAATGATTTGATTAAATAGGGAGCTGATAAACAAAATCAGATGGAATTGTTGAGTTGAAATTTTACTTTGGGCTGCGCTTTGATATTTGCGCAACTGGTTCGGTTCACAATAAGACAACGAGCTAGTTCGTATTGGAACCTGTTCAGTTCAGTTGTAAGCTTTGAATGTTACGAACGTATATGAGCTGTACTTTTATTTGCGGAACTGGTTCACAGTAAGAAAACTCAACTGGTTCCGCTACGAATCAGCTCATTTGAGCAAAAAGGAATTTTAATTAGCATAGTTTAGCATTATATGCGCACATAGGAAAACACATTTGCCATATATATATATATATATATATATATATATATATTTTTTTTTTATATAATATAGAAGTTTTACTAAGTGTTTATTTCCTTTTAGAGCTGTTTTCGGAGAAATTCGACATCAAGAAAATATTGTTAATATAATTTTTGTTACTCTCTGTTTTGTTTTTGTTTAAGAAATGCACACAGTGGAAGTTCCGAGCGCTTATACCCAAAGTTCATAGGTATTATCCACTCATGAGCATATATATATATATATATATATATATATATATATATGTGTGTGTGTGTGTGTGTGTGTGTGTGCCGGAATAAAAAAATAAAAAATAAAGTA